AACCTTTAATTTCAATTATTTAAAAACGCATTTATTCTTATGAGGGTCCTTTAGTTTCAGCAGCAAGTAAATTAAGATTTGTCTCATTATTCATTAGGCCAAAGAGAAAACAAATGTAACCCTTAAAATAAAACGTCTCGTTAGTTAAATTAAAAGCTTCATCCATCTCAGCTCGATTCATTTATTTCCCAACTCACTCTGCAGACACAAGTTCGATTATTCTCACAAACTGAATGTTTGAAACAAATGAACAAGAATGAACTAAATCTAATAAAAAAGATAAAGTCTGACGAGAATATATATTAACACTCCAAACATGGACAACACGTGGGATAAAACTACCACCTGCACTTTTTCATCGAGTCACACAGGAAAGTTTTTACTCTTTTTAAACTCCATCACTCGAGTGTAACTCAGTTCGGCCTTTTTCCTTCCCTTCACTTTCTCTCCACCTTCACCTCACACACACTCACACACACACACACACACACACTCCAAGACAAACACTCACGTCAAACCGAGGCCGGGCCGTAAATCCTCAGCGGCACAGAGGGAGAGAAATCCCCGGAGTGGCTCTCTGAAGGTTCCCGGGTTAGAGCTCCAGGAGGCGGACGGTCCCCGCCACAGCTCCCGGGCCGAGCCGCTGCGCTCCTGGAGCATTTTTCTCTATATGTCAGAGTGTGTGTGGACCCGGGTAAAGAGTGGCGGTGGAAGGGAAGACACAAGCCTTTCTGCTTCTTTTCTTTTCTTTTTTATGTGCACAAAACTGCTTTTTGTTCCCCCCATTTTTTCATTTCAGGGGGGAAGGGGGTGCTCGTTGTGATCACATGATTACAATTCACCTGAGATCGCCTAAAACAAAGGGCGCAAAGAAAAGGAGGGGAGAGGAGGAATGAAAGAGGCAGAGAGGCAGACAGAGAGATGCACTCATGGCCAGGACTCCCTTATCACAGTCAACATTCATGGATCATGAAAAAAGTGGTGCTTTTTGGATTGGGGGCCAGTGTGTCGCACGGCGGGGATACAAGGGGTCATTGTTGTGAAGAACAGCGCATGTGTTTGTATCCGTGCGGCCCGATGTCCCCTCTCCTCCGCGCTTTCTACCAGAGCTGCTCGGTCCGAAATACGCGCCGCTGCTGCTCAGTCCGAAGCGATTACATGCTGCTTTTAATCCATAGTCTAAATATTAAAAATACGAACATTTCACCTCATATCTGTTTTTTAAATATTGTGACTCAGAAAATCTATTTTTTTTTACATTTAAACAAAGTGGATGAACTCACTCAACACTTCAGTCTTTCACTGCTTCGTCCTCTAAAGTTCAGAGACCATTCAAATGTCCATTACTGTTTGCGTAAAGAGGCAGTGAGCTGCGCACCGAGCTGCGTAACCGTGCGTAAAACCTGCGCACCTTTATTACAATGTGAGGTTTTCTCCTCTGAGCGCGTCTTGATTTGAGACCAACAGAATTCGATAACTTCAGTGTTTTCAGACTTCAGCCTCTGATTGACTCTGAGGCGCAGTGTGGCCCCCGCCCTTCTTCTCTCAGGCCTCTGTAATCGAGTTTTCTTGATTTGTGGATCAATCACTGACAGAATCTTGTGTTGCCTTATTCCACTTTCTGAGATTTTATTTTGTAGCTAATTTTTGAATTCATACAATTTAGAGACTCAGTTTATTAGGGACACACTTTCTCCCTTTAGAGGCTGCAAATTCAATGGTCATGAGTTGATTTGAGAGTAATTGTAATTCTGGTGTTACAGTATGGTGGTGGCCCTGCAGAGCTCAATGTGCTGCCAATAACACACGCAGACAAAACACTAACGAATTATACAAAACAATCCTCATTAATTGGACAACACATGCAAGTAGAACACAACCAGACACACACACAGTGCAAATACACACAAACTCCATATGGCAGCTACTGATGGTGTGTGCTCACAGGGACAGAAACACGAGGTGGAACCTGGATTATTTGGCCTTTGTAGACTTTACCTCATTTTCCAACACACAACCTCAGTTACTTCAATAAAGTCACAAACTGATCTGGTGCTTCATCACTGGATTGTGTCCCCTGGAAACACTTTGATCATTCTGCAGTGAGTTTGTGTATCTGGATGTTGTGTGTTGAGCTCCCTCGGCCACCATATGAACTTCCGCTCAAGTTACCAGAGGCCTGTAGGATTTCTCAGGTGTGGAACTCTACAACCTCAAATATACCCGTACAGGAATATGTGTTTATTTGATACTACAGCTTTTGTTGTTTGTGTTTGCAGTGTTGACATATTAGTTTCTTGTGTTTTGTTGATTGCCATTTGTTGCGTTAAGCTCCCAGCCCCTTATGCACGTCCTCTCAAATTAACAAGGGGCCTGTGGGATTTCTCAGAGAGGATCAACCTGTTAAAGAATATGCATTCAGCTGAAACTATGCGTTTCCCTTTGTCACATATAGCAGCGGGCTTTCGTGTTAAAATGCATATAGCACAATTTATGAACACTGGGACCTCGTGTTCAGCCTCAAACTAATTTGAGAAAAACAAAACCTCAAATTTCCTTTCGATATTTTTACACTTTTTTTTTTTTACGGAGAGAGAGAGAGAAGGGGGGATGGAGAGAGGGATGGAGGGGGAAACATCTCTCAGCCAATCAGAAATATCTGATTCTGCATCATGTCGTTGTACTGCTCCTTTAAGGCTTGTCTTTCTTTTTTTTTTTTTTTTACTCCCAGCCTCATACAAGGAGCTCTTTAAGCCCCGGTGCCGACACACAGAGCAGGCATTCATACTCGGGCAGCGCAACGAGGGGGCTGGGGATCGAGCGTCACTTTGGAAACTCGGGAACTCACGGATTCTCGTGCTAAACCGGCGACATCCTTTTCTCATTACTGAAGTAAGGCGCTTAGCATTTCCAACTCTTTCCTCTCTGCTGCCTCTCACTCTGATGGTTTGACGAACGAAGCCCGACTCAGAATTAGACCATCGCCATCAGAATTAATATTCATATTATTATTATTTCAGGATTTGTGCGTAATGGGACTGTGCCAAAATTACTTTATTAGTTTATCGTGAAACTTCAGTTCATCTGAGAATAACCTGCTGCTTTTACAGTTTTGTTTTTAATGTTGAAATACGCCATGAACTTTTTTTTAAATTAGCTTTCATTGTTTTTTTAATGAGAGCAAATCTTCCACTCGTCGATCTGTTTTGAATTGATTTCTCAGGTGATTTCGTTTTCACGTATTGTTCATCATCATTTGTCAACATTGAAGATTTTCCAACCAAGAAGACAGTTATCTTTTTTTCCCCCCACAGGCTACAGCTAAAACAAAACTTATAAGTGGATGAAGATGTTTTTTTAAAAGCTGGAGGAAATTGTAAAACAACCCACAAACAAGCATCACTGACTTTACCTTACAACGCACTGATGTAAAAACTAACTGAAACAGGAAAGTTTCTAACAAGCAAATTAAGGCCAAGTTATTGACAAATCGAGCGTCGGTAATGAGTTCACAGACCCGGAATTCATTAATGTGCTGGGTAATGAAACAACGAGCAGGATTTGAATTGTGCCTGGGACACCAAGTAAACGTTATCAGATAATGGATGACATGGAATTTGTGTTCACAGACTATGACGAGGGAGTTAAGCGCATAGACGAGTTTTCATTTTCCATCAATTTATATGTTCAGTGACGAAACGAAACTATCACCAGTCTGTCAAGTGACTGCGATTTCTCTTTGCGCTCTTTCATGAGACATTAAATGCAAGAAGTGAGCCTCGCAAACACAGAAAAACACTGTGCGTAAAACGTCGTGCGCAATTGGCACCGAACGCCTCATTGCGCACGACGTTTTACGCACGGTGTCTCTGCGTTCCAGACGCGATGACAGCCTGTGTAAAGTGGCCTGTTACAGACCAGGTGGCGAGCGCCTGTCATTTATCATTAATGCGCCTCGGACAGATGGTGAAGCTTTGCCCACACAAAGCTTAATTAAAAACATGTTGAACTTTTACTTAAACGTTTCAAAAAAAGGGGCGAATCTTGTTTCTCTCAAATATAAAGGTGCAGTAACGTGAGTGTGAAGTGAGTGAACTTTTTCAACTCTGAAACTGACAGGACGTTTCTTTTTTTAATGTCACTTAAACGTGGGCGAGATCCCCAATTCCCCTGCAACATGATCCCGGGGTGAGGGGGAAACCAACCGGCGCCGCTGGTTCACGGGAAGTTCGCTGATTCAGATCCAGGACGTAAAGTTCGGGGCCGGGTGTTGATTTAATGGATAAAAACAAGGACGCAGTTTGCAGCCGCCGATAGACTCGCTCCTGTTCGACAAACAGACTGTGTCTAATTCACACGCGCGTACACGAAGTTTATATTTCCAGCGCCAGGTTGTGTTTATCCAGGGACTGCGGGGTATAAATCCAAGACTGTGCTGCCGCGGCCTCGTGTCATTACAACACCTTCTCCTCGGGGAGCTTGGAATAACTGCGAAACCTTAAACAGTAGCTGTAAAGGAGGGGGTGGTGGTGGGGAGCTCTGCAAATATCCAACTTATATAAAAACCCAGACACAGAACAAAAAAAAAGGGAAATGAACTGTTTTTAAAGGAGTTCAGACAATATTCTGCGCCTTTTACGCACATCTGCGGAATTTATAGCAGAGGCCTCAATGGAGGTTTTGTTTCTTTCCCTAATTCAGAGAGTGATAAATCTTGACATTTAACAGAACCACTTGAGACTCCTCTCATGACTGCATGAATGCAACAGGGAAAAGATTATAGATGCAAAAGTCCCAATTTTATTGGGTAAAAAAAACTGGGGTGGGGCAAGCGTGTTAGTTTTGAGGTTTTGTTTCTCTGCGGAGTTGTGCAAATTCAATTCTCACAGTGTCCTGACTTGTTAGTAGATGACAGCGCCTCCTCCCCAGATGTGTTGGTGAGGCTGTAGTCGCCCAATGATCCAGGCACCGTCCCTGCCCCTCATCCAACTGATCCCTTCACCGCTCTGCTGTTGCAGGTCTCTGCTGCTGGAGTCCAATCGCGGGATACACGGAGGAGAGAGAGAAGGGGAAGTCAGGAGGGAAGTGAGAGCGGGTGAGTTTGGCGCAGACATCTGTGCATTAGCAGGTAAACTGGGGTCCAAGGTGCGCACTGAGCCGCCTATGATACCAACCACCCGGATGGAAAGAACTTTAATGTGGAATCCTCACAGAGTTTTGCAACGGAGGCTGAGAGTAGAGACAGACTGGCAGTTTATATTATAACTTAGAGGAGCCAGAGAAGAGACAGGTCAGATCAGCAGTCACCCGACACTCCGTACTCTGTAGGACAAACAGCAACAGGGACCCGAACAGGCACAGCTGAGCATTTGTAGGAACAGGCCTTTGCGTCCTCTGCGCACCTGGAGGTTTGTGTGTGTAGGAAGATGTCCAGAGACGAGCAGAGCTTATCGGAGGTGGAGCTCAGTCCCGGGATGTCGGACGACAGCCGCTCCCTGTCCCCGGGTCACTCCTCCGGGGCCACGGGCAGCGGGGACTCGCCTTTCCGGCAGCAGGCGCAGCTGGACGACGCGTCGGCGGGCTGCTCCTCGGTGAGATCCGACGACGAGGACGACCGCTTCCCCGCAGGAATCCGCGAGGCGGTGAGTCAGGTTCTCAACTGCTACGACTGGACCCTCGTGCCCATGCCCGTGCGCGTGAACACCGGCGGCAAGAGCAAGCCGCACGTGAAGAGGCCCATGAACGCGTTCATGGTTTGGGCGCAGGCGGCGCGGAGGAAACTGGCCGACCAACACCCGCACCTGCACAACGCGGAGCTCAGCAAGACCCTGGGGAAGCTGTGGAGGTGAGGAGGCCACTTTATGTGGATAGATGAATGCTAATAGTTCCAATGCACTTTCTGTGTGTAGCTGGATGGTACATAGGGGGGTGTTGGAGGAGTTCAGAACATGTAGGGGAAGGTCCAGGCAGGAGTGGAGCTGGAGATACTCAGATATCGACTGCATAGTCTATGTTAATCCTAAATAAATGTTCTGGATGAATCTTCAAGAAACATGTAATGTTTTTTTTAAGGGTCTGAGTTTTTGGGAATGGGGTTCAGGAGAGGTAGCTGTGGTCAAATCAAAGGATCAGTGTCTTTGTGTTCAGAATATTAAGTATAAAAGCATCTGGACAAAGCGTCCCTCCTGTTGTCACGAATATTCCCCAGAAAATATGTTTTCCACGCTCTGAATAGCAACAAGTCGATCATCTGATCTGCACCACCTCAAAACCCCCATCGTTCTTACCTCCCTCATCATGCACGTAGGCTCACACCGACACCGTGGTGACCACATTCATCTCACAGGCATTTGTGCACGTGGAGTTTTCATTCCTCTACTTTTGTCTTAAATCTTTCTAGTTTTTTCTGAATGTAATGATGTCTGTCATTTTTAAATGTGAGAGGACCCCCCCCCACCCACCATGTAAGTGTATGTGGCATAATGTTTTCTATTAAATGTATTTGCTGTCAATGAATTAGTGTGACTCTTGAGAGACAGGGTGAGTCTAATTTCCCCGCTGTTGGACACAGCTCACCAGCTGAAGAACCAGAGTCTGTGTCCTGCGGTCACATGTTCCCGAGTCCAGACTAATTTCATACACCGTTTAATTCTCTGCCACTTGGCTGGAGCGACCGGGGCTCCTGAGGGAATGAGAGTGGTTTTCAGACCCGCTCAGATGAAATCGCGGCCTCTTCTGCTCTGAGTTACATTTACAAGAAGAGTTTCCACGTTATTTAAACTCCAATTTTATATTTTAAAAATAAAAGTGAATTCCTGTGTGGGGCTAATTGTTCACTGAACCATCACATTTGTTAAAGTCCAAACTTCTGTCAGACCTCTGCTTTGCATAATACTCACCATTTTCCTGACAGGAGAGGTCAGAAAGGTTAAATTCATTAAGGTTGTGGGGATCCAGCATTAATTAGATGAACACTTGACCTTGGGCTCAGGCATGATTGGTTAATTGGTCCAGAAACACGATGAGCAGGGAGGCAGAGAAAGGTCGGGGGTTTCTCATGCCATTCCTGCCAGCAGTAGAAATTAGGAGCTCAGTTCTAAGTTTTCAGACAGGAAGCTTCTATGGCCTCATTATTTCATTACTACCCAGCAGTCAAAAACCCTGGAAGGCACGACATGAGATACAGCTGTGCAGATACAGCTGTGCAGATGCAGCCGATGAATAAGTTACCTGCAGCAACAAAAAGACATTTTTATATTCTGCAACGAAAATGGAAATCAAACAAATTTGATTATATCATATAAAAACTTTTTGCATCTTGTAGAATATTATACTTGCAGCTGCAACATGTGTTAAGTTTTCTTCTTCTCTAACGTTAACAAACGCAACCGTCTTGTTATTTCCTTTTCATCAAAGACTCCTCAATGAGAGCGACAAGCGACCCTTCATCGAGGAAGCAGAGAGGCTGAGGAAGCAGCACAAGAAGGACTACCCTGACTACAAATACCAGCCACGACGCCGCAAGAATGGAAAACTTGGTTCCGGGTCAGGAAGTGAGGCCGAAGGCCATTCGGAGGGTGAGGGCCCCCACAGCCAATCCCACTACAAGGGCCTCCACCTGGAAATGGCCCACAGTGGGGGAGCCGGGTCCCCTCTGGCTGATGGGCACCACCCTCATGCTGCAGGTGGGCTGCAGGCTCCCTTCCACTACCCCACTGATCACATCCTTGTGTTTTAGTTTGGATGCAACTGGCCAGTGTGGCACTCAGACATTTAATGGTTTGGTCTTCCGAGAAAAAGAGCTGTAACTACTTTTGTCTTGTGTCCCCCGCAGGTCAGAGCCACAGTCCCCCCACACCCCCCACCACTCCCAAGACAGAGCCTCAGTCTGGGAAGGCAGGAGACGGAAAGAGGGAGGTTAATGGGAACGGGGTCTCCCGTGGTACAACAGGACCGGAGGGAAGCTCAGGTGCCCCGGGATCTGGGAAACCTCACATTGACTTTGGTAATGTGGACATTGGTGAGATGAGCCACGAGGTCATGGCCAACATGGAGCCGTTTGATGTCAATGAGTTTGACCAATATCTTCCCCCAAACGGGCACCCGGGGGTCGGACAGAGTGCTGGGGGGGCTGCAGCTGCAACAGCTTCTCCAGCCTCGCCGTACACCTACGGCATCTCCTCAGCTCTGGCAGCGGCCAGTGGACACTCAGCTGCCTGGCTCTCCAAGCAGCAGCCTCCGCAGCAACATCACGGCTCCACCCTGAGCTCAGACCCATCCAAGGCCCAGATTAAGAGTGAGGCTGGAGGAGCCGGGGCTCACTTTGCAGAGGCCGTCACAGCAGGTTCCCATGTCACATATGCGCCTCTCAGCCTTCCTCACTACAGCTCTGCTTTCCCCTCACTGGCCTCTAGGGCTCAGTTTGCTGAATACGCTGATCATCAGGCCTCAGGGTCGTACTACGCCCACTCCAGCCAGGCCTCGGGGTTGTACTCAGCCTTCTCGTACATGGGGCCCTCCCAGAGGCCCCTGTACACGCCCATCAGTGACCCAGCCAGTGTGCAGCAGTCGCACAGCCCCACACACTGGGAACAGCCCGTCTACACTACACTGTCGCGGCCATGACAGATAACGATTCCAGAGGGCACTGGTGCAGGTTCAGCCCCCATGTCGGACCCAAGGAGCTACAGCGGCCACAGCAGCAACAACAACAGCAGAGCCGCTGGTATCGACGGTCAAGGTGGTCTGGGCTGTGGGGAGTGGGCAGGCACCGGAGGAGGAGGCTGGGGAGGCACGAGGGGAGGAACCCCGTACTGCGCCTTCCCAGACGCAGAAATGCTGTCGCAGCCCAAGTATGAGCTTGGCCCGTGGTGCTTTCGAAGCGTGGTTGAATATTAGGGGCGGACAGAGTAGTAGTAAGAGGGTGTTGCTTTGACGGAGCAAAGAAAAAAAAAAAAACACTCACCGAGCACTGCAGAGGTTCAGGTTAGATTCAACAACACAACTACAAGTGTTCAACTACAAGGGGGGGGGGGGGTCATCGGTTTGTTGACTCACTGTGAATCGGAGGAGGGACACTGTCGTCCAAACCCCGCAAACTCAACCCGGGGGCCGGCAAGGACAGGGACAATGGACCACAATGAAAAGTACGTCCAGAGATGCAATAAGGTCAGAAGCTGGACCTGTGTAATGTAGCGCGGACTGAGAGGGAGTCACATTCACAGGTTCTACCGACAAGACAAAAATGGGGGAGCCAAATCATTTGGCTGTGGCTCGTTTCACTTCTCAGGCAAGTCGGGCCTTTATCGAACAGACGCTAGTGTTGTGTTGCTTTTGGAAATCAACACAAACAAATACTGATGCATTCTGTTGGATTCTGAGGCACATGGCTCCTGGTTGAATTCAAACTGTTGTGCTGTGTTCACTTCAAATGACTTTTGTACACGCAACACACATACATGGAAGAAAAACCATGTTAACGTTTGTTAAGTGAAATGTGTATTGAGTCAGAAAAACGAGGACTATTATCAGGATGGTCTATAAAATGTACTTGAAATAACTAATGTACGTATACTGATGCATGCAGATATGAAATATTTGTGAAAAAAACCAAAGTTTTGAAACCAAAACTTTAGAAATAGAAGAAACTGAAAGGTTTCTCCCGACAAGACACTGAACACTACCTTTACGTTACCTAGCTTCTTTCTTAGCCGCCAACACTTTTCCAATGTGACGTATATAAAAATTCTTGGTGTCAAAAATTCCTGTTGCTTTTTTTTTTTTTTTCCCCACAAAAGCACTGATGAGCGAAAATTCATATTTGATGTATTAGTGTAGAAAATTAACGGTCAAGAAAATTCTATTTATACTTTCACTGATTGCAATTTGTCAGAATATATGATAGAAGCTTTGTTTTTGACTGTGACGATGCCGTCAAACGCTTTTTGCCATAATTATCTCCACTGAAAACCTGCACCGCTGCCTTCTCTCAGCCACAGATCAACTTTTTTGAGATGTCACATCTTTTGATTACAGTTTTGTAACTTTTTAAAAAGAGCTATTTTCATACAGTATCAGTGTCGGTGATGCCAATACTGAGAAGCAGTTGCCAGAGATTGAGCGAATAAAAGCCAGCAGGAGTTTAAACGTTTTAACACGTCCTAATATTAAACATGAACTGTGCCTTGTCCTTAATAATACTTGTGACTAACACGGAACAGTGAAGAGAAAAGCTGTATTTATCTGTATTTGTTAAATCCTGTTTCTGTCTTTTTACATTTTTTTGTAAACCATTAGTTAACCAGTTTTTTTTCCCCATACCGTCTTTTTATAATCTCTCTTTAGTCTCGATGGTGTTTCCACGTATAATGTCTGTCCCTCATCTCCTACATGTGTTTAAAATCATTTATTTGTTTTTCTGTATATCACAGATATATATTCATTAATGGACACAGATGTAAAGAATATGCATGCAGCACTGCTTGTTTTAAATCACGGTCCACTGGTGCTATAAGCCCGTTTTTATTTAACCATTTACCTCCAGTAGCCATTTTCATCTGTATTTTTGTAATGTTGCTATGAATTTCCTATTTATATTTGTTTTGTTGCTTTTTGTGTGTGTGGGTTAAATGTTTCTCTCCATTTTGAAGAAAACATTTGACTGTTTCTGCCATTTTTTGTATTTAATCTTTTCATCCTTGTATAACTGTCGCCAGCACTGTCGCCACAACTTCTAAATAACAGCAGGACCGCAAGCCTTCATCATGTGATGATGACTAATGATCTTTTACCCTCACTTGAAATAAAGCTTTTTATTTCTGCTTTCATAAACGTCTGCCTCTTGAAACATTTTCACAGTGGAACAAATACACCTCAGCCTGAATACCAGCTGCAGTACGTAACAAACAATAACCCGAAACATCCCCATTCAAACAGCTGATTGACCCCGTTATAGAAATATTCCAATTGTTATAGAAGTGCTCGTCCTGTCGTTATTAACCACACACAACAACAGAAGCACATGCCTCCGGGGCTCAAAGCTCTGCTCCCATTCTCAGAATAATCTCTTCAGCCGACGGTTAATTCACTTGAACTGCAACTCACAGCTTCAGCAGTCCACCGCTGACCATGAGCAGAGGTGAGCTGAGCGCGAGTGATGAGACAATGTGCTACATTACAGCAGCGGAGGAAGTATTCACGTACTGATGAAAAGTTCCCCAGACAGAACTTGAGCTAATATGATTGGTTATACGTGCCCATGTGCATATTTCCAGTTAGTTATATCGTGCATGTGTGTGTGCGTGTTTCTGTGAGTTGCAGGTTAAGCCTGACTCCTAATTCCCTCTCTTTAATCGGCTGTGTGATACTTTGCAGAGACAAAGAACGCCATTGAGGGAGAGTTGTGCAGGGAGGGGGGAGAATCAGGGCAATGAGGGAGCCTTACCCATAACTGCCTGGCCTGTAGCTTCACTGGGATACAAAGGGACTCTCATATACTCCCTGCACATAGACCCTGCAACCCCCGCTACCCACCCACCCACCCACCCTCCTCCTCCTCTCATCCCCCACACTCACCCCATCCACTGAGAAACACACTCTTCAGGTTGGAGCGGTAACGAGATTCAAACATTCCAAAAGTTACGAAAGGGACCCAGAGGGAAGACGCAGGTAGAGGCTGTGAGGCAGGTGTCGTCAGCGCACCACCGCCACCAGACAGAGCAAGATCACCAGCACTGTTTTACTGACACACTGACGGACTTCTGTATCTTAGACGGAGATCTTTATGAAACAAGGTTACAAAATGGTCCAATTCATTGGAAGTCATTTTTCTCAGCTGGTTCAGTTGGTTGTTAACTTCTCGGAGACACAATAAATAGTCCTGAGCTCAAACGTAGAGCAGAACAGCCACAAAGTTGGAATCGTATTGGACCAAAGGTTTTAAAATCAGCAACCGCTTGATTTAACACAGTTGATCATCCAGCAGGAATCTGATAGGAGGGACTGTCAGGGCTCGATAGGTCAAAGAACACAGCTGCTGGGAAAAGACAGATCGTAAAGTATTTGTGTGATGACCACAGTTTTGAAACTGAACGAACTGCAGTGGGAGAATAAATGTAAAAAGAAAAGAGATCAGAACAACATGAAAAACTAAAATCAAACAAAGTGGAGAGTCATATACGCAAAATAAGCCTGAATGTCTCAGTCCTATCCTCAGCAGGGTTAAGAGCGACCTGATGGTGGCCTCACTGTGGTGGGTGCTGCTGAGTGTCACATGCCCCCCCGCCCCTCCATCCCGTGAAAGGAGTGTAACGCCACCCCGAGGCACTGTCTCCTCCAATCAAAAGCCCCACAGATTAAAGCAGTTTTTTTTCCAGAAATTACTAACATGACTGTGGCTACACCCAATTATAGATACCAGTACAAACTGGCTTCTTGATAACGATGTTTTTCATATTTGTGAGAAGCACGAGAGAGATCTGCACCTCTTGTCGTGTCTTAATCTTCCACCAGAGGAAAACATGGGTTTATATTTCAGTTGTGATGCCTTTATGTAAATGTGTAAAATACAACGCATCCATATATTAAGCCGACACAAGCTGGAGTATCATCACACAGCTTTTTACACAACAAAGCTGTTGAACAATACTGCTCTGTGTTTATATGTTGTTTGAGATTCATCAGGCTGTCAAAGTAATTAACGATAATAAAAGACAGGGTTGTAAATAAAAGAAAGATGTTTGAGCTTATTTAACTATCAGACATTTTGTATTTGACCTGATTGAAGCAGAAGAGATTCTGTTCCCTGCACATTGAAGATCATTTTGAAGAGTTTGATCTGACAAATACATGAAATAACAGAAGTTACTGAAATAGCTGCTGTTGCATGATCTTTGACAACTCGGAAATACTGTGAAATTATTTCATGTACTGCTTAAAAAAATCATGATAACTAGCCCTTGAAGCTGTGTAATATAATGTAAGGTGAAGATAAATACATGACACTTCTACAGCTACTTCACTTTAACTCATGATTATATTAAATGTTAGAGGCACAGATGTGAACGATGGATGTTAACTTCAAACTGCAGTGAGTCCGTGTCAACGAATCATAAGTGAAGTGAATAAGACAAAGTTATTTATACAAAAGAGTTTATTCTAAACTATAAAACAGTTTTTTTTACACTAACCACCTCTCTCCTCCAAGACAAACAAATTACAACACAGGAATATTTTGTAAAACAAAAGTAAATGTTTGACTAGAGTCACATTTCCCCCTTGTGGTTATTAGTTGCACTGCAGCTGTTAAAACTTCTGACGTCTGTCAGATCGTGAGATCATCGACTCACATTTCAAAGTTTTTCTGGTTCAACACAGTCACCTGATAATTCAGTGGATCTTTTGGAGGCCGGAGCAACTGATGGCTGCGTCATTGTAAAGTCTCCTCTGGGTTTGTGCAGCTGACTGACCTGATAAAATGGCGGCTATGACTGGATAATTTGTTTAGTCTGTTATGATGAGCTCGTCACAGCCCCAGTCCTCATAACTCCCATCGGGGAGGTACCTGCGGATGATGATGGGAATCTTTCTGCTCCTGTTGAAAGGGACAAAAAGAAAAGTCTGGGTGAGACACTGAGCAGTACAGAGGATCTCAATGTCCTTCTCTTTACATCAAGACAAAATGAAACCACAAATTGAGTAATGATCTAAATTCATATGAAGATAATTGAAACTATCACTTACTTAAGCTCTTTCATGGCTATTTGCAAGGGGTCTGTTTCTCCCTCCAGCTCCACCATGACTGGAGCACACATCCTGTTGGAAGAGGTCAAGTTTAAAAGTTGTGTAAGAGTCGAGTCGGACAAACAAAATCCATCAAAACAATCCTGCAGTACAACGACAGCACAACATTAAAGACATCGACTTGTGCCACTCAAACAAATCATGCACTTGATCCTCGTGTAGCTCGAGTTACATGAGACAGAAAAAAGATCAGTCCGACTGACGGATGATTTGGAGAGAACCAAACATCGAACAGAAAATCGAATCTGTTTCCTTTCTGCTTCCTCGTTGACACTGTTGAACTTAAACATCACAGAATCTTTGACAAATTAAATGTATGTAATTATCATCTGAGCTTTTAAAGAAATTCACACACGAAACCTTTTTAAAACGTAAAGTGAACATGACGACTGAACAGTAGATTGCATTAACGATTCATTTCTTGAGGTTGTAAAACAATCTGCAATGTTTGCGTTAAAGTAAAATACAATAAATGTTCAACTACGAGGTGTGTGACTCATGTGACATCACTCACGCTATCTGAAGAGCTCGTGTCCCCAGCACTCTGGCCCGCTCGTATTTGGTCATGTACGGTGTTGTGATCCTCTTCTGGTTTGCCAGCTGTCCCTCTCCTGCCGGCAAGATCTGCACATTCTCCTGGTCCTCCTGCGCACAGGAAGAGAGCAGGTTTATTATATTATATTATCACACACACACACACACACACACACACAACAGAGGTGGTGGCAACAACTATTAAAATGTACTTTAATTTACACATAAACCAAATGTCAGACTCAAATATTAGAAACTGGAAAATCTGATCTTTACATATTTATATTTTTAAAACTACTATAGACACATATTTATTGTTATTGTATATTTGTGTGCTACAGAACCAACCTGTCCCCTTGTTTGTTATCTCGGTGTTTTATGTAGCATCAAAACAAAGTGTGAAAAACCCACATGACGATCTGGTTCTGACCCAAACTTACATCTTCCACGTTTTCTAGATCGTCTAACCCCTCGTCCTCTTCGGCGTCATCAAAGTCTCCATCATCGAAGCTACACACGTGACGGAAAGAGTTTTTGTTAAATATCTCAGATCCAGAGTTCAGAAGCACCACAGCTGCTAGCTAACAAGCTACACGTTAGCCGGCAATGACGTCCCTCGCGCTGTGAAAACACGTAAATGAAATAAACAGACACACGTGTCGTCACTCACTTGTCTTCGTGGTCGGACATGTTTCAGTCTGAGTCTCTCGTGTGTCTCTGTGAATCTTTAAATCGCGAATCAGCGAAGAAACGTTGTGTTGTCAACACGAGCCCACATGAGAGCCAGGACTTCCGGTGGCGCGGTGCAGCAGGGGAAACGTTCCGGCCCGTCAGGAGGACAAGTGTGTTTCGTTCCGCTTGTTTTCCAACTGAGCGTCGAAATATAAAATGTCTCATGTTGTAAAAATAAACGAGTCAGATATTAAATTATAAGTTTATCTGATGCATCGAATGCTTCTAGATCTTCTTTTCGGAAATTCTGTGGTATTTATATTTTTAACAAACTTTACACAGAAAAAAAACTCAGGAGAAACAATTTCCAGTATTTACTCAAAACCATTTTATCAGATCCAACATCTTCTGAGTGCTAATTAAAATATGATCTGCTATGAGGATACAAGTTTTTAATTCAAACAACTCAACACAAGACATAAAACTTTCTTGAATAAATATTTATTGCTTACTTCTACAAATACAAGTATGTAATGAAATAAAGAAACATAAATAGTGTCTGCACACAGCGACGTAGAAAATGTACACTGCTGATAACAGTGAAGAAAATAGAAAGTTCATCTTGCCTACACTACTAAGCTGCTCTTCTTGACATCACTATATCATATTTTAATATGATGATCATCTTCTGCGGTCAAAATAAATATCAACACTGTCGTAATCTAAAAGCATAAACAACTGTTTTGTGTTTGTTGATTTTTTTATTTCATGTTTTTACATCAGCTCTTTTTCTCCATGGAGACCTTGATGCTTTCTGCTTTATGGTTGAGCATCTTAAAAACCTTCGTGGGCTTGAACTTTCCTTTTGACTTCCTCAGCTCTTTCAGTTCCTCTCTCTGGAGCGCTGAGGAGAAGTAACAGGAAAACTCAGGTTAGAGGAACGGTAAAAAGTTTGCAATTTAAAATTCAATGTTACTTTCTCACCTTTCTTAGTGGCCTCTGAAAGCTTATCTTCTTCTCTTTCCCTGACAAGAAAAACAGAAGCTGAATTTTAATATTACAATATAGAAGTAGAGTTCACTCCTCCACCACGGCCCCTTAGGAAACCACATTTAAATTGAATACATAGACCCATACAACATCCTTCCACTAAGTTTCGTGCTAACCTGTCTGACGGTAATCCTGCTCAATAACAAACAGATGAAAACTACGAGTGACATGACTCTGAGTATTGTTTTTTTATTTTCCTCTGCACCTCTGTCTGTCCACATCCAAGCTGCTGATGATCTGGTTCCTCTGCTCGATGATGGCGACCAGCTCGTCCATCAGCTGCTGCTCTTGACTCCGGTCCTCCGGACTCCATTCCATCTCTGAGTGAGCAGAACACGGCGTGTTAACATTCAACCCCACAGAGATTTGTGCTGCATCACATCCACCACATTAAACACACACAGTAGTTCTTATATTTCTTATACGACAGCAGTTTCAGGTCAGAAGACAAAGTATATAAACATGTAATACAAAGTAAAGTGTGTATGTGCAAAGCCTTTTAACCAGTTAGGAAAAGTGCTCTGGTTAGTATTTAAAAAGGAAATGTTGGGTCTATTAATGATTTAACACAGAATCATTATAGAGTTGTAATGTTTATGCTTTTTTAAGATGAAGATTATTATTGTCAGCTGATAGAAGTTAGGTAAAGAGCATCACACAGACCAGGTTTACAAAGGATGCATCTGAGCTCATACTCCACATCCGCCTGCCTCTCCTCTAACTTCTGCTGCTTTGTCCTGGAAAAAACATGAATCAGGAAAATTCCCTTTAACATTTCCAAAGAAAAATGCCCCAAAAACACATTAATAATCAGAACAGAGCACAGTGTTGATAAAAACAGCAAAATGCTCAGGAGACTTTATCAGGAATAAACAGTGGAAATGAAAAATAAAGCACCTGACTTCTGTACTTACAGATAAACCAGCTCGGTATCTCTGCGCACCAGATCCTGTTTCTCATGGAGAAGAGAGAACCACTCCATTAGCATACGTTCCTCCTCTTTATCTGGAATAAAAAGGACAAACACTGTCAGTGTCTAAGCACAGTGTATCACAACAACAAATGATCTTGTGAATAATGTGGCTGCACCATTCCTGCAGTCTCTCAGATTCTTCTCCAGCTCCACTCCTCTGTGTTGCAGGGCCTCCAGACGTTTCTCCACTTCTCCCATCTCAGTCTGCAGCTCTTCTGTAGAAACATGTTGGTCTGTCTGCACCTGTCAGCAACACGGAAGATCTCAACTCAGGAAAATCTCACTCCAAACGTCAAGTGCAGAAAAAAACCATGAATGACTTTACGCCAGATTTACACGAATCCTGCAATGAGGGCTGCAAACGTCAGTGTGAACAAAAACAATGAAGATATTATACACTTTTATTAAGTATTATTATCAATAATTGCCCTTTTGAGGTTTTTCACACCTTCCTCTTGATGAGAGGGAAGCCGTGTCCAGGGGCCGGGGCCCGTCGAGATGGAAAGGTCTGGAAAGTCTTTGATTTGATCATTGTGGGATTTCGATCAAAGGGATTCTCTCGGCGGGCCGGCTGCAAACAGAAATAAGAACAAGGTCTGGTGACATGTAACTGTCATGTTGAGATAACATCATAGAGAATTATTTCATCTCCTTTCAAACCTGCTTAACTGCTGATGTGTTTACTTAGTATTAACATCCCATAATAATTAATGTACTCAGTGCTGACACTTACAAAACCAAAGCGATCGTGTCTGTTTGTCTTTCAGCTTTCTCAGAAACCACCCATCTCAAGAACATTGACAGACGCATACCTCTCCGTTTATTTTGCACTATGAGCTGCACCTGCCGTTACCGTGGTAACCACATGGGAGTGAAAAGACAACCCTTTAAATAAAGAGATGTTGCATTGTGGGTTTGTAGCATAGACTGAGAGTAAAGATGGACGACGCCTCTCTGCTTCCTGCCACCGTCCGGAGATGAAGCCAAAACATCCACGATACGAACGACGGCAGGGTCTATTGATCCGGGGGTGGAGCCACGGTATCAAGGTCTCACATAAAACACGCACACGCTCGACCAATCACAAGTCAGCCTCAGCTGTCAATCATAAAACACAGTGACTGGTAGTTAATAATCAGCGGTGAGGTCATACCTTACTTTGCCACACGACAGATTCACTTGCCGCGGTTACACCGGGCAGTGAGGACCCTTGAGAGTGGACAGACATGATGACTGGCACAGAGAGACTTCTGGGTAGAACGTAACTCTGGCCCTCATCTGGTGCAACATCTGGCCCTGCAGCTGCTTCAGTCACATCTGGGAGTGAACCAGCCGTGCCTCCATTTTCAGCCACATGTGGTGGATTGATTTGACCCGTGTCTGCAGCTGGTTCACTGGACGTCTCCACACTCACGCCCCCTGCTGGATCGGGTGTCGCAGCCCCGCCGGCCTCTTCGTTATCTGGACTCTTTGCTAGAATGGCTTCATCCAGCGGGTTTACATCAGATTGAGTATTTTCATCTGATCGAACAGCCACCTCCTCTGAACGACTCGCCTCCACTGAGCACTCAGGTTCAGGAGCCTCCTCCTCATCCATGATTCCGTCAAATGGATTGGGAGCTCTTGCTTTGGTTCTGAACCAGGGGCCCTGCTTTATACAAACAGATTTGGTTCGAGGAGTGGGCCCCGGGGGGGGGGCAGGAGGCAGCTGTGTCCAGGGTCCCGGATGAATGATGGTCATCCAGGGATGGTTGGTTTTCATTGTAGCGCTGGTGCTAAAAGGGGAAAGACGAGAAGTGATTTTCGAGATGATTTCACCACCAGAGGTTTTTATTTTCATCCCTGTCCATTTGTTTTTTTGGCTTGTTTGGATAAATTACAACGAAACTCGATAGAAGGATGTGAATCTGTCACGGAGGAAAGACATTGGTGCAGATCTGGATCATGGGGTGAAACCAGGAATTATAATATCCCTTTCTTTAACATTGCAAGATTTCTCTTATTTCCTGAGGGAATAATTCAAGGATGTTGTTGAAGAAAGTCAGGCTCATTAAGGAGATTAATATTTATGAGCATGTGAAGTTTGACGCAGCTTCATTGAATTTAAAGGGACCAACCGGGCCTCAGCGTGGTCGTAGACTCTACTGAGTCACATTCAGTTTGTACGCTGTTTTGTAAAACTCCAGGGAATTTTAGCAAATAAGTATAATAATAAATAAAGAGGTGTTGATGATGATAAGTGATAATAATGGTAAAATAAACAAGGCAGTTGGACACAAGCAAACAGGGAGTTGGACACAAGCAAACAACTGAGTCATTCTGTCAACTTACCTGTGAGAAGAACTGAGTGGACTTTTACTTTGGTTGGATAATTTACCTGCACAGACAAGAAGGAGAGAAAATAACTTCATAACAATACACACGTACAGATGAAGCTGGAAACAGCAGCGGTGGAATAACATGTTGTGTATTTACCAGCAGGGGAGCTGTTTGTTGTCTGGGAGGGTTTGGTCCTGGGCACAGGAACAGGGACCTCAGATGAGTCGGACATTTGTGCTGCTGCTGGAACCTGCCGACCGCCTCCTCCTGTCACTCCTCCACACGGTGAGGAGCGCTCAGACAGCTGTTGAGAGTTTGTGGTTTCTTGTTGTATCTCTCCGTCTGTCTGAACAGGTGCAGCTTCAGCTTTTCCAGCCCCTGCGACCGACCCGTCCTCATCACTGGGTGGAGGAGGACGAGGTGGTGCCGGCTTCTTCAACATGCTCTTCACTCCAGAGTCTCTGTTATCTCTGCATTCCACCTCGCTGCTCCTCTCCTGCCTCTCGTTCCACTGCGTCTCTGGTGCCTCACAAACCGGTCTGTCCTGTGACTCTGTTGTCTTAGTGTAATAAGGGACGCTGGAGACAGCCAGGCCACCCAGAGACACATACCCTGAGTGCAGGTCACGTTTGGGACGATCCTCAGTCGATCCAGTTTGCTGTTTGAGGGCAACATGAATGTTTTTACTGTCTGTTAAATGGTCGGTGCAGATGAAGGAGGCAGCATCACTTCCCTTTGTGTACGACTCTGGTAGAAGAGTGCTGTGGCACAGTTTGCACCTGGAAGACAAACACGTTTTACTGTGAAGGCATCTTTAACACAGAACCCCGACAGTTATCAAATGTTCTATCTCACAATGTTAAACAAAGTGAATCCTGGATCTGCCCCCCCCCCGACACGGTTTAGATCCATCGAGTAGTTTTTGTTTAATTTTGCTTACAAACAAACATTAAACACTTTATCACCATATTTCATCGACATGTCTTGAGATCAGATACAAATGTGCAGAGAAGTTTTCTGCATAATTTCTTTAGAAAAATCTGTCTTTCGCAATGTGAAGGTGAGAAAAGTCCTTTTAATCTTGTTCCTCTCTGAACTTCACTCTTCAATAACAACGACTCAGCAGTTTTTGCATATAATCCTGTCAGCAAACCGACAAACAGAAATGAAAACATAATTCTGCAGAGGTACTTCATTCTCACGTCTGTCTCTCTCAGGTCGGAACATTGTGGATGGACCTGGATCCAAACACTAATGTAAACACTCTGATGTCACAGTGTGTCACCTGAAACAGCTGCGATGGAAGACCTTCCCGTCGATCAGATGTCTCTGTATGAGGTGGACGGGCTTGAAACACAGATTACACACCGTCCGAGGAGCCGTGCTGGACAGGCGATCGGTTTCCAGATGAGACGAGCTCTGAAAAGACAACAGAGGGACATGCAGCTGAGGTCGACAAAGAGTGTGTGGAGACAGGCGCGACTATATCGGGAGAGAATGTTTGTGTTTGTGTTGAAACTGATTTACCTTCAGGGGTTTGAGAACATCCGGAGTTTTTCTCTTGTTTGAGACTGTGACCTGCGATGATCTCAAACCAGAGCGATCTGCTGCACAGTCCAGAGAAGACAAAAGGAGGACAGCACAGTTTGATTCATGACCTGAGCATCAAGGAGACGTGTGAGTGAAGAGTCCCAGTGCCCCCCCCCCTTAAGGACTCACAGACTTTGAGGCGTGTCCCTCATAATTCAGAAATTGTGAGTGAAGGATTCCTCACAGACTTTCTGAGCCCTTTATGCAGACTTCACACAATTTGTACAGACTTTTCCAAAGGGAAAGTAAGACGAGAACTTGGAAGATGAAATCCATAAATACACAACATAAAATGAAAAGTCTCAAACTTTCCAAAGTAACATGATGTGGTTCCTTTCATTTCAAGGCTCCTGCTGCTTCTCACACCGGCTCAAAAAAATCTATGAGGGTTCAGGGTTCGAGTTTTGGGGGGGTGGCATTGTGATTCATCCTACAAACCTGTCAGAGACCTTCAGCAACATCAACATCATAATCAGATTATAAACCTGTCCTGCTGTAAGTAACTCTAAATACAGAAAAGGTAAAGAGGTGAAGGTCTGTGGGAAACTACACACCCTGAGACGTCCTGTTGAAGACGCAGTATAAGTGTGAAAGGTACGAGATGACGCTCAGAGAATCAGGGACCCTGGTGGAGATCATTTCTTTTGGGTCCAGCAGCGCAGGGATGCCCAGCTTCGTTTCTGCAACTTGAAACGCCTGCACACCAGGAGGAAGAAGAAACAGACAGCGCCAGTAGATGACAGAGCCGTTCTTAAACTGTGGCTTGTGTGAACAACATGGAGGTTAATGACTCACCAGTTTGTGATTGAGATAAACATTATCTTTGGAGAGGGAGCTGAAATCTCTGGAGTGAGAGAGAGGACAGAGAGATCGATTCAATAAGAAATATCACAAACGAACCAAACTGTTGCCTGATGAGGAATCAATGGTCAATCAGACAAAGCAAAATGCAGTTCAGGATCACAGGTTAGGCCGCTAGTAAATTAGATTAGAGTCAAGTTCAACTATTGTTTCTAGGAGTTAAAAACAAACTAACTAATCCCATTTAAAGGCCGAGGAGAGAGACAGAGAGAGATTTAGCAAATAGGAGCAGATTAGTCTGACACTCAGAGAACAGCTCCTCACTCTGCTGCAGATTAGACTGAACGTTAGACAGGGAGCAGACACGTCTCAAAATGAAATAACACGTGAGATGAAATAAAGATGTAGAATTAAATAAGATGAAACAGACATTACAAGACAAATCAATA